CAGTCCTATCTCTATCCTCACTGCCGATGGCACTCGATTTCAAGTTGTGCCTGGTCATGATTGCTTCCCTACAGGCCAAAGTGTTCTCCTCACCACTGCATGCGACAATCGGTCCCGCGTTGGTGTAGAACTGGTGCTAGGGAACCATACGGCTGAGATTTGCAATGTATCCTCTAGAGTGGTCCTGGATGGGCTGAGGCCAATGCCCAAAGGCCAGCCACGTATTTGGGTCACGGTTATGATTACACCAGGTCAGCAAGGAAACAAAGTCGAAGTCTTGCAAGATCAAAGGGGCTCCACCAGCTGCAAGGATAGAGGTCCAACCTCCTTTGCCCTTCGTAGGGCTCCCGACTGAGAAGAATCAATCTTATATGATGGGTGATCAGCTGACTCACGCTGCTGCCATCATTCGCGCACTCCCGGAGGATTGAAACATTGACCAACCAACTTTTGGCATTTAGACGTGCAAGAAAACAAGGAGACGAACGACATCTAACTCGAAACTATGTCGGATGCTTCTGAATTAACGTTCATAGCATCACTGTCACCATCCGACTCTCTCCTGATCTGCTCAATGCCTCCGTATGGTAGCTTGTCTTTATTTAATCCATCTCCCCCAAAGCACATCAACTCTACAAATTCCCGAAGCAGTAGCTGATGCGAGCAGGCCAGATGCCGCAATCCAAACGCTCGCCGCCTCTCTCCGGCATCTCAAGAAGCCTGAAGCCCCAGCGTTCAACTAAATCAGTCGAGCTATGAGACTTAACCCCACTCTCCTCATCCTCAAGGAAGGCATCTATACTCAATAGATTCATCTCAGCTCCCTAGTAGTGCATACTCAACCAATACACCCGACTCACGTCACTTACGTTCAAGCGACGACAGCGGTGGCATTGGAGCGTGATAGAGCATTCACTGTAGAAGAAAATGCATTATCTTAAGGAACTCTTGTTCAATTTATAATTAAAATGAATTGGCTACAGTACTTCTAATAATCATAATTGACAAAATTGGTAATACGACAGACTTCACTCCAAAACTCATGGCGGTCCCTGAGTTTTTGCGTCACGAACGTAGCAGGACCCTTCAAAAACGGTAGTTGGATAGGTGTATGAGAATCAAATCCATGTGTCTGAAAGGCAATCATAAGCCGTAAAGAGGGGAAGAGGTTGGGAGTTAACCAAGGTAAAACATGTTCCAATTGAACGGGTTGCAATAGCGGTGAATGGACCATAAAATATATCTCCTCGATGGTTTCTACGCGAGTGATTGGGTGCCGAAGATCTCTCAAATAGATGTTGCCGATAATAACGCAGAGGGCTGGAAATGGATTGAATTGGATTGAGGTGCGGAAGCGATCCATGCCTATCACTGAAGTTAGTAGATGTTCTTGAGAAATACAAAGTGACGGACCTGTGAAATAGAACATTTTAATTCAGTAATTGCTGACCTGTAACAGTTTCTCGGTGGAGGTCCGGAATGAATGGTCATGCAAAACGCTGATCCAAGACAAGTTAAGTATCGGAGATCCATTGGGCCACCTCGCGGTTATCAGTTCGTCGATGACTAGCTCGTCGACGTAATAACCGGATTCAGGACCCAGCGACAATTTCTCTATGGTGCATGGAGCGGGGAACGGGTCAGCAAAGCCAGCAAAGCCAGAGATGTCAAAGTGCAGCACTCCGAGTTGCAGCTGGCGCAAATGGGACGGGCAGTGCCCTAAGAGTGCCATAGGTAAATTTTGAATTTCAGTCATGAACAATGCATGCAAAGTTGGGCAAGAAAGCAAAGGGATAATCTGTTTTTGCAAATGGTGAGAGAAAGAGTTCCAGTCGACCATTGGAGCTATGCCATTCCCAGTGATGTGAAGGCTTTCGAGTTCAGAAAACCGCTGCAGAAGCTGGGCCTCATAATCATGAGGGTCACTACTGATGTAATAATGGAGATGGTGGACATAGCGGGCGAGCTCGGGATGAGGCCCAAAGAGTGAGTCGAGTCCGGAATATGTAGATGGATGAACTACAAGGGTGGTGAATAGTTGTTTTTGACAGGGACTGACTAGAAGGCAGCAAGTTAAGGCCAATGAGCGAATTGTTTCCCAGTCACGACGATCAACGAGTTCGTGCAAGATTGTTTCCACGATATCAAAAGGCAATTCAACAACCATTGTGTCAACGACGTTGAGAGATGTGGGCATTTGTCTCAACGCCCAGGGGAGGTTTCA